TCCATCATTTTCCATTAAAATACTGTTCTTTTGCAGATAACTGCTCTGAATATTATTTTTTCAGATGGTAGAGTTTTTAAAATCTTGGTGAGTGTGAAAAAATTTTTATCAAAAATATTGTAATTATTACATTTTTTAAAACTATTAACAGGAAGAAAAAGTTTATAAACATATGTGACATGACTAAGTAACCATTTACTTTTTTTAATGAGATAATGTGAAATTTACTTAACCATAAATTTTTATCTCCCTGGCCAAATTAGAAAACATTTTCTAGAAAGAGTCACCAAAAACAGAAGATAAAGAGTATATGTATATTTAAGCTTATATTTTCATATTCTACCCTTGATATTTTCAAAAAATAATCTAAAATAAAAATTGGTTTTTTTTCTTTGTTTTAGTTGGATATTTTTATTTAAGGGGTAGTGGGGGAAAGTCCAATGTGCTTAAGACAGTGACAATGTTTGAAAAAATTAAAAATTGTATAGTTGATTTTGTAATATTCTGTTTGACATGCATTGAAAATGGCCAAAATATACCTATAGATATACTTGTTTTGTATTTATTATTGTTTCTGTTTGTGCATGCATTGGGAGGATCCAAAATTCAAATGTAATAAATTACTATAAATTATTTATTTTAATTGTTATATTTCTAAAATTAGAAGTCAAACCTAGTTTTAAAAATTATGTTATATGAAACAAAACAGCTATCTATAAAATATTAATTTTGAACTGTATGTTTTAAATTCACTTTTCTTGATATTGGATGATAATATTTATGAGTTAGAAAGATAGTTTTGAAACACTTGAGTCACAAAGGATCAGATAACCTTTAGAAACTGAACTTTTGCTATGAGCTTAAACAAATAGCCCAGAAGGATAACTTTGTTCAACAATATAATGGGAGACATTGACTCTCCAGGTGTATTACATTCTATCATTTATTTAAAGATAATGTTTTTAAAAATTCTACCTTTTATCTCTTATACTAAAATACATAAGAATCCAAAATATCTGATTGTTGAGTACTTCTTACATTCCTTGGCATTTTTTGATAAGTACCAATGCATACAGGGTCCTATTACATATAACTCAGCCTGACTGAAGAAACCAACCTAATGCATAGCCATTGCTCATGAAACTGAACTAGATTCTTCCAACCTTATGGAACTTTTAGTTTCACTTTATAAGGAATGGAGACCTAAGCAATCCAGTTTAAGAAAAGGAGAATTTTGAAGTTGTTTTTGTTTGTTTGTTTAAGGATTTAATGTGTCTTCTCATGAAAATCAAAGACTTAAATAAGTACAGCTAGACCTGGTGGGAAACATAACTGGAGTCATTCTTAAAAATACATCTGATGTAATCTTCTAGTAACTCCCTAGTAGTTTCCTTTCTCTATAGGTAAAAGCTAGTATCCTCAAACAGGTTCATAAGCCCTGAATTGTCTTGTTGCTTATCCATATCTGACCATATACACTATATTATTTGCTTTCTTGCTCCCATTATATCCCCCATATTTCTCACTTTTCTGTTCCTTTGACTTACAAAGAACACATATATCTCAGGATCTTTGCTTTCCATAAATACCAGGATGGCTGACACTTTTCACCGTATTCAGGTTTCTTTGCAAAGGAAACATAATTGAATAGGCATCCCTGACCAGGTTATTTCAAGTTGCAATTCTCCCATTACTCTTAAGCTTTTATAACTTCCTTTGTTTTTATTCCTGTAGTTTTCATATCTAGTATTTAATAATTCATTTATTTATTATTTCCCACTTTAAGAAAAAGTTTCTTGATATCAGGAACTTTGTTACTTTATAATTTTATCCCTGGCACCTAGAACAATGCCTGTTACACGATAGGAAATCCATATGAGTATATTAAAGAAATTAAATATATGAATGTTATCTCTAATATCTATAGCCTTTTGAGTTTGCACCATTTCCACTGCGACTACTCAGCTTTCTTTGCATCAGCTATCGAATTAGGCTTAGCCAACTGAGAACATGGCTGATCAGGTGTAAAGGCTTTAGAAAGGTAGTTAGATGACACAAATATGCTACACAGAAAATCATTGCAACTACTTGTGCACCAGTGCCCTTCATTGCCCCAAGTCCTGACCATGAACCAAACATCACTGCTCAGTTCAGCATCTAGCTAGTGCATCTTTGTCCTTTCCTGATTAAATAACTTCTCTCTTAATGTCTTCACCACAGTTGTAACTATGCATCTACACTACTTCTATGACTTATAGAACCACATTTCTGCTTGGATCCTAAAGCAAATAAATGCCATATATTCATCCATCTCCTAGACTGCTCCACTTAGTTTTTGATTGGTAAAGAAGAAATTTCTTGTGTTTTTGTAGATCTTTTTTGTTGTTGTTGATCCACGCTAAATGAACCCCCAGTGAATTGTGCCCTTGCATCATCTCCTCTCTTTTGTTTGAGTGGAAACTACTATTTGTTTCTATCTGATAGAATATGGTAAAGAGTAAAGGGGTTTTACAGATGTAATTAAAGTCTCAATTCTTTGATTTTGAGTGAAAGGGAGATTATTCTGAGTGGGACTGGTCCTCTTCCTGAGATGAAGAAACATTTTCCTGGTGCCCTTGAGGACGTCATCATGAATTCCAGACCCCTAAGGAAACGAATCTTGCAATGATTTGGTTTAACTTAGAAATAGATCCTTCCTCAGTTAAGCCTCTAGATAAGAACACAGTCCAAATATCACTTTGCAGTCTTAAGCGATCCTGAGGAGAGGACTCCTCTGAACCATGTGTAGATTGCTGGCCTACAGGAACTGAGAGATAGTGCAACAAATGCTTCATTTTAACTCATTAAGTGTTTGGTAATTTCTTATATAGCAATATAAATCTAATACAGATCCTTATCTTAATTCATTTTAATATAGACACTTAGGAGTCCCCAAGCTACGTTTAGTTCTTTAGGCTTCAGTGTGATCTAGATTTGGTTGGACCTTACTTTCTTCTTTGAGTTTTACATGCTAAATGATGGAAATAGAGATGGCTTTTTTTCCTCTTGCTAAACATCTATTTGGGGATTTACTCTTTCACTGTATTTTCCCTGGTCTCAATGTCTCAAAACTAAATTTACACCTTCTCTCAGATGATATAGCATGGGACCACAGTACTTTTCTTCCTCCATTCGCCATATAATCATCTCTTATGAATGTAATATCAACTCCTATTGCTTTCAGCTTCTGGTTCTCATAAACATAGACACAATATCTTTGGCTTTGAGATTCATGTGTCTAGTCCTCTCATTAACATATCATCTTTTTTTTCCTCTATGCATGTGATATTTAACTTACTTTATTTTCAATTTTCTTAATCACAAGGAGTATTTATTTAAATGGTGATTATGTAAGATCAGAACATTAATATGTGAAAATGTATTCCTTAATTTTCTGCATGTTATATTTAAATGTTCATGTGATTATTTTTGTAACTGTTGGACATATCTGTGTTTGATCACTATTTACTTTTTTATTATTTACAGTTTCTCAAATACTATTTATGCTGCTTACAAACTTAGCTATATATTTGAATATCTTGGCATTCTAAGAAGTACTATATAACACTAAAACCATCATTCAGCATATGTCATGTAATCTAAGAGTCCATTACTTAACTAATGTGTTTTTATTTTTTATAGTATTAGGAGCTGACCATATAGAGACATGATGAGTTTATATTTCTTTTAATTTTACCACAACATATGTTTTTCAGAGCTTTTAAGAACTCACAAAATTATAATTTAAATACTTGGTACATGCTCTATTTAAAAGACAAGTTACTTTCCTTTAGAATATGTTTCATAGAATGTGTTTGATAAAAATATTTATTTATCATACACTTTGAAATAAACAATTTAGGTGACATATTGTTGAGAGTAATTTTTCTCTATTTATCCTAATAGAAATTCTCGCATACTGATTTGAAATTGAAGTTATTAAGAATTTCAATTTTTTTAAAAGAGACCTAAGGAGTATATAATCAAACTCTGATCCACATTTTTTGGAAGAATATACAACCACTGTAGTTGTGTCATTGAATAAGTAGTTTTAAAACCGAATTATAATTTTAAGGGAAAGGGTAAATTCAAAATTCTGTGCATAATAGAAGGGGGTGGGATGGGAGAAGGGCACAAAAAATGCCTTTTCAAGCTGATCCTGAGGGAATAAAGAACTATCCATGTGCAGATTATAGTAGATAAGCCTCAAAATGTTCTATTCACTCAATTAATCTGGACTCTTATTCAGGTATACAAATGATCTCTTTTGAGGAAAAAAGTGTAGAGAGATATTTAGGAGGGAAAGCAAATAAGTAGCTTTTGCTGCAGTGTTAAAATCACATAAACATTGGATCATAATAAACTGTAAATAAAACTACTTTTCCACATAACCATATAATGCATTGATGAGAAACTTATACCAGTATAATGCATTGATGAGAAACTTACTGACCTTTTCTAGGGGTGAGTCTTGTTATTTATTTATTTATTTATTTTTTAAGTACCAGAGTACATTTAACATGATTCCATTGTGTCAGTGCAAAGGTATAGATAGATTCCTCTTTTGGAAAGCTGCATTTGAGTTAAATACCAAGATCCTGGAAACTTCTGTTAGTAGTTGGTGTTAATTAGTTTCCTTTGAGATGAATCACCAAGAAGTAGGAAATTAATTTGCAATCTCATGGTGTTTGCACATATATGAGATCACACTTTTTATTTTACTGCAAAATATGAAAGGAATAGAAAATTCATAAGCAACAGAATGGAAAGTATTGATGCTGGTTTCACTTTTCCTTTTCTATTTTTTTACCTTAGTTCTCTTTCAATATACGCAGAAATGTGTAAATAAAACCGGCGTGCTTATTTAACAAAGAATTTGCTGACACTCTTGTCCAACCCACAGTTGTTCTAAATTTGCTGCAACTTCCTCGGACCGCCTCCAGATGGCGGCCTAGCGCCCATTTGCTCATCCCAGAGAGCGGCCAATTGCCAGCTGCTGGGGAGAAAGAGCTTGGAGCGGCAGGGCTTAACCCGGTACAGCTCAGAGGTGGGTTTCTGAAGGACTCGGGGAGACAGCTGCAACAAGGTATCACTCACTGTACAAATATTTTCATTTCCGAGAGCAAAAAGAAGAACTTAAACGGGCGGCACTTGGAGTGTAAATTTCTTTGTAGTATTTAAAAGCAGCATGGATCATTGGCAGCCGAGCTGGTATGTGCAATAGAAACTACTCAATGGAAAATGTGCTGGGTAGGGACCCGTCTGATCATCCTTTGTGTACCAAATGTTCTATGTCCTGGATTGTGCCTATATGTTACACTCATTTCATTTTCACCAGGATCATGGGGACTTGGGGGCCAAAAGCTTTCATTTTTTCCAATGTGATGAAATGAAAGCTTTACAGGACATTGTTGATGGCTAGAAATGTGAAATGAGTCACTGTCTAAAGAAACACATGATAATGATACAAAAATACTTTTATATGTCTTCGTTAGAGATAAAGAAAGAATTAAAGTCTTGATATATAGTTTTACTAGATAAGACTTTTAAGAGATGTGGCAAAAAAATATGTTAACTAGTTATCAAAACACTTATGCCTGTAGGAGTAGACTTAAACACACCTGTAAAACATAAACATTTCACATCTGTGTTCCAGAATGAACACTGTGTAGCTATGAAAACACTAATCATGAGAACTCCATATCATATGTATGTATATTTGTATAGACTAATATGTGCTGTGTTTGTATACATAATAACATGTATGTGTGACCTAGATACAGAATTATCATTGAATAGTTACATAAATATATATAACATATATATACATAATATACATATATTATGTATATATACACACACACACACACACGTATGTATGTATGTATGTATGTGCTGGACATGGGTGGATTTTATACTTTGACACATAATAATTCCATCTAGATAACTTAGTATATAGATCATATGTTGACAAAAATTAAATGTAAATTTAAAGAAAGTACTTGTTTCACTGTTATATTTTAAATTTCGTGAGTTTCATTCAGCTGTGCCCTTAATTTTCTATGATTTTAAATTTTGGAGAAGACCTATTTTTTTAGTATTTTGAACATAAAGCATTGCTGAGGTGATTATATGGGATTAGAATGCATAGACATTTTATAAATACAGAATCTTTGCACTTAGGATTATATGTGGAGTTCTCAAGAGTTCTGAAAACCTGAGAGCTCTGAATGGGGTTTATGTTCAAAAAACAGCCAGAAAACTGAAAGAGTCAAAGATTCAGAACAAAATGAAAGTAACTCATGTTAAGGTTTTAAGTAGTATTTTTACTCTAACACCATTGTTAGAGTAAGCTTATACTGATTCCCTTGGTAACAGATGTTGCACATGAAAAAGCAAATGACTTTCATATTCTGCCATTTTGCAGAAATACACACAAACATAAGAAATTTGAATTTAACATAAGAAATTTGAATTGAGAACTAAGTAGGATAGTATGCTAAGTAAAGCATAAGATACTATGAAAAGTTGAAAACTTTTGAGTCCCTGCCCTTGGAGTTGCCAATCAAATGACTAAGTTGGGCATGTTCCTGCATATAAGTACATGGTAAAATACAAACCAAATTAAATGCCTAGAAAGAAAGTCATGTACAAGACTTGCAGCATTTAAAAGGGGGGGGGGGAGATCTATTTAGGAGAATCAGTAAGAGCTTCAGATTGGAAGGTCTTTTTTCAAGGAATAGGGTGAAAATTCATTTTGGTAAGTGAGATAATCTCCGAGTCTTATTCTGGTCAGACATTTAGATTGTATTGGGTACTTCTCATTGTCTCAAAGGTGAGCAGTAAGAAATAATAATATGCAAATAATGGGGAAGTATTGGAGAAGGCCTTGAACAACAGGCTGACCATTCTGAGTTTCATCATTAGTTCTTTTCCAGGGTCACCAACAATGTAGGTATCTCATATTCTTAGAAACACCAAAATAGTGCATAACTAGAGTAAGCATCAAGTTTCTAGGTAATTTTGTATCTTATCTATTGTCTACCATCATATCAAAATGTATGCTAAGAGAAATGATACTCTTTTAATCTTATGTCCTCAGGCCTAGAAATTGCTTGAAAAATATTTCTCAACTGAATGAATGAATGAATTGTAAAATGGAGAGAACGTCAGGATTCTATGTCATTTGTTTTTAATTTTCCTAATATTGTATGCATGCTAAACATCCTCAAAATTTACCAAGTCTGTGAAGTTATTGTTCCAGCTGATTTCATTTATGGCTCAGGTAATGCCAAGTAAGTTCCTGGAATCACTACTACTGATGTTTAATCTTACTCTATTTTTAACTTCTTAAGTGAATAACTTGCCTTTGCATTTTTAAAAAGGTTATCAAGATAATTACAATCTGTGATTATTCAGGCAGAATTCACCAGTTCATCTTCATATTCACACAAAAGACATACTGTGTTTATAATACCTGTTAAAGAAATAAATTCAGGGGAACAGTTGAAGAGTTGGAGGAAGACTTCACACTTTATAACATACTTTTACCTCCTTAAAAGAACACTTAAAATATTTGGTTGTCTATAACTTCATTTAGGTCAAACTTTCTAAAGCCTTTTTATAATTAGGGAGATGCAAAGTGGTCATTTGAGAGAACCTAACCTGTATGCTTTCATAGTATTTAGAGATATTAAAATAACTTTCTTGGGGTCATGCCCTCATAAACAGTGGTGATCCTCTTCCTGGTTCTATGTAATGATATTTATACCTTTTATGAACAGGCATATGTGAACAAACTAGTGAAGAAAAATATTTTTTGTCATTTGAAACGATGATACTAAATGGAAAGAAGCAGGCATTTTAAAGGAATTATAACTATGAATCACTCACCTAAATTATAAATGAAAGTGTAGAATTTAACAGATAGAAAGGCCAAATAAATAATGCCACTGAACCAACAACTTTAAAACTGAACACCTGAAGTTTCCCCTGTTGCATGAGAGACCTTTCGTCTGGGATGATGATTTATGGATCTTAATTTACTTTCACATGACTCATCTGAAAATACACTAGGGTGGAATTTTTCAGCTTGAAATTAAATGTTGATGGGATTTATATGTGTCAGTTAAACTGAGAATGCAGAATTTCAGTTTCATTTTGAGATGATCTGCGCAGAGTCAGGCTTTTTCTCTCATCAGTTTCAATATGACAAATTTCCACACCAGCCTGGGTCTCCATCCTGCTGGACCTGCTGTTAATACTTTATTTTTAGCTCTTTAAAAGGAGATAGTCAGGGGGCTGGGCTAGTGCATGTGTCTGGTATGTGTGAGGCACTGATTTCGATCTTTAGCACCACTTAAAAATAAGTAAATAAATAAATAAAATAAAATAAAGGTATTCTGTGCATCCACAAATAAAGAATATATCTTTTAAAAAAAGGAGGTTGTAAGACATGGTAGCTGGCCTAAAACTTCACCCTATTCTAAGCCCTAGGGTAAGGGTTGGCCTGGAAACTAATGGATTAGAGATAGTGCTAGATGTTCAGTTTTGGAGGAATATACTGCAGTATATGCTGCAGGGTTTTCCCCCTAGTGGTTGACTTAAAGCTATTGTGTTTCTTAAAACAATAGAAGTAGACTTTTCTTTGTATAGTAGAGCTGCTTAGTCAGAATTCCCCTAACTTAGTTTTTAAAAACATTTATAAGCGTCGATGGTTTTATTTAAATTGTCATTTGAAAGATATGAATATAATACCCTGAAAACATAGTGATGACTTACTTCTCTTTAGTGTTTGAAAGGCCATATATTAAAAAAACACAAAGTGTACACAAATAGTGGAAGTTTTTCTATTACTGGAGATCACACATTGTACTTCTCTTTATGTAAAGAAAAATTTTCTTCCTCTGTGTATCCCGATGTCAACTTTTGTATAATCAGTGTCACTGAATCAGTTTAACAGGATTTTTCCTTAGCCTCTCCAACCATACTATAAACTCCTTAAAGGCAGGAAGCAAATCCCAGGTTTCCTTTGAGTCTCAGTATCTCCCTATTATACTGGACACATTGTTTTGTTTTTTGACAACTGAATAAAGACCAAATGCCATTTTTTTCCCCACACAAATTAAAATAAATAGATGTAGTCATATAACAGGGGCATCTAAGGGGAAGAATGAAACTCTTTCTAGTACTCAAGATGTCAGGCATGTTACACCTGACACACAACAGAAAAATGAGAAATTTCCTTGTTCTTGGTTGTTTTAAATGGAACTTCCTTTAAAATAACATTTGAAATGTAGAAATATGTATAAAGGCATAAAACTTGTGTTGATGTGATAAAGTTACGTACATTTGGAATAGATACCTTCTAGCACACCTGTGTTCTTGGTATATTATATATCTGCAGGTAGGATAGTCCAAAGTCAGAAATGATAAAAGACAAATGAGCAAAGTTCTCACAGTAAGAATCCATCTTAAGGAAACTGAAACATTCATGTGCTTCAGAAGTTCCTGAAAAAAAAAAATCATGTATTTTTATAATGAACTTATTTATGAACATACCACAGGTTGTATAAAAATAAGTTTATAGCAGCAAATTTCTGTTTCAGCAAGTGCTAAAGGAAAATAACAAAGGATCTATGGCTGTATTGTTAACAGGAGTGTGGGAGCTTTTCTGATATCTCTGGACTAAAGGCTAACAGAGGCGCTTTTGGTTACTAAGTTGGATTTTTTTTTTCCCCCTGGTCTCAGGCTCATTAACGATGGAAGTAGGAGGGGGAGCATATAAAATGGTAGCTGCAGCTGTGGGCACTCAGATCATTTGTCACCTGGCATGAAGTTAGTGTTGGCAGCTCCCGAGTTCCAGCACAGAACACCAGGGAGCGAATGCCAACTGATTGTTGTTACTCACCAGCTTGCTGGCTCAGTTCCTTTCATTCTTCAGATCTCTCCTGAAGTGTTGCTGTCTCCAGGTAGCTTTGCCTCACCTCTCTAAATGCACTTAGCACCCTTCTCTCCACTGTTGTGACCTCATATTCTCACCACTTAAAGACCCACCTTCCCTCCTCAGTAAACTAAGGACAGGGGCTAAATCTTGTCCAACATGACTTCATATTTTTGTCTTGCATAAAATAGATTTACAAATATTTATGATTATCATATGTTGCATGATGGTTTTATGACTATAGATTTTGATTTTAGTAAAGATGGCA